TGTTTAACATGCCACAGTTGACAGTTTGCAATCAATAAATGCAATTTTTATTTTATTATGCAGTATTTAAATATTTTATTTATTGTTTTCATGTTTAATTTATTATCAGAGTATTTAATTGTCTTATTTTTATCTTAAATTATGTGTGTTTTCTGTTTTAAGTTTATCGAAATGAATGTTGTTTGAAGTCTCGGAAATGATTAACTTACTTTCCATTAGTGTTGCCACCTTTTCAAAATCGCTGACCCGGATGGCAGGTCAGATTTGTTCAAACAAAAGTCCTGACACATGTGCAATGTCATTTTACAATGCGAAGAATAACGTGCATGCCGGTTCTAAATCAGTTAGGGATTAGGGACATACTGGTGCATGCTGGTTCTAAATCAGTTAGGGATTAATACAGTTGGGGACTAGGGACTTGCATAGGAGTAACGTAAGTAACCTAAATTAAGAAAGAACAGGTACAGATAACCTAGCTTGTAGACGTGTACAATTGTACATAAAAAAAATGGTTGCACGCCACACGTCAGTGTAAACAGACTAACATGGCAGAATTGCAGATGAGTTTCAGTGAGTGTGAGTTCTTTCGCCATTAAAATAGTGTAAATCTGTAAAAATATTTGCAAGAACTTTGTTTCATCGTAATTTCACAATTTCTATAAAATTCCCGGACAAAATTAATAGTTCATCAGACAGTGAGTCAATTCCCGGACTGTCCGAGTGGTAACACTACTCTCCATTATTTCTAATGGGAAAAATCAATTTGGACTTTGAATGATTGAGTTCAAACAGCCTCCTGAAATGAATAAACTCAAAGTACGAGGCACCACTCTAAATCGTAGTTTTAAAATGAGTGCATCAACTTGTTTTTATTATACACAATTGCTTGAGCTTTAAATTTAATCAGATTATATTAATTTTATCCATTGAATGATGTGTTTTCAGTTATGTGCATAAGAACAAAGTGTGGCATTTGATAGAAATTATTCATGTGAAATGGGCAAATTAGTACAGTACATTTTAGAACAAATTTTAAAATATGAAATTATAATATGTATGTACCTCTTACAGATTAAACAAATTTTCATATATTATTGTTAAATTTACTGTGTAAAGTGTAACTTAACCCTAATATAAAATACTATCTTATTTGTACTTTAATGAATATATTTTTCAATATTTATACCTATATATTGTAAATAGTAGAAAAATAAACACAGTAATTATGCATAAAATAAGATTATTATTTGTATGACTGTTTTGGAAATAAATTATTGCATGATAGAGTTTAAATATTAAACCTGTACAATTTGATATTTCTAAAATGCGTGTATTCTCAGAATGATGTCATTATATAGAGTTAGAGTGATAGTTTAAATTTCATTGTGAAAATTTTAAAAAGAGGTGTATTTTTTATATAATTATCAGTAACAGAATGCTTAATGATCTTTCTGTCAGATTTTGCAATTTTACATCACAAACAGATCCATCTATTTTAATTCCAGCAAGTTTTTCTAATTTTTCTGTAACTACTGTATATCCTGTAACTTTTTTCTTTCAATAAGCAGATTTTTGGATCTCTTGGAAATATTTTCTCTCTCTTTATATTAATTGAGTTAGTTGATACCGTGTTTCCCCGAAAATAAGACATCCGCAGAAAATAAGACCTAGCACAGATTTTGCTGAATTGCGAAATATAAGACCTCCCCCTGAAAGTAAGACCTAGCGAAGTTTTTTTTTAGTCGTAACGGTCATCGACAGATGGTTGAAAGTACAGCCACTGATTGGTCAGCAGACAATTACGCCACACGGCATGATTTGCATAAGACTATGGCTTGGGAATCACAGATTTGCATAATGTTATCGCTGGTGATCGCTAATTGGTCGGCTGGGAATCACGCCACATCACATTTGCATAGTGCTACGGTTCAGTAAGCACTAATTGGTCATCGAGC